GAAAATCAATTGGTTGGACTCGAACATTGTTGCAGCAACTTTTCATTGCATGTTTTAGCACGTCCATAAACAAGCCAACAGTTTAAGAAGCAATTTCGTTGAATGTATTCCAAATAGTATATAGCAAAGTGTGTTGGGGTGACATCGTGCGGGCCATGTGCATGTGCATTTTAAGAAGCACTTTAATTGAAATACTGAAGTCAATCGTTCTATTTTCATGTTCCTAGGATAAGTTTTTGCACGTTCACATGAAGTTTCAATTGAAGATTTTAAGGAAGCACATGTTCAAAGAATTCCATGTACTTTCTTAGTCAAGCATCGTTTTTCAACAACAGCTAAAATTATTCTAGACAAAGTCAATAAACATTCAATCACAAGTTTTACACCCAAATTTAGTTTTAGATTTATGTGATAAAACATTATCACAAACTCTTCCGACGTAACGAACTCCCCTCTTTATATATATATATATATATATATATATATATATTATTATATATATATATATATATATATATATAATAGTAGTTGATGCTAATAAAACAGAAAATGATTTTACCTAAAAAAACATAGCTACATTCACTGTAAGTAAAATCTAATAAGAATTTTATACTGTTTCAGTAGATAATATCAGTGAGTAACTGAGGTTAATAAAATGTTTGTTACTAGCATATTTTTTTAGGTTTTCATTCCATTAAAAAATCGTGTTAAAAGTAAAAAAGGAAATAGTTATTTTTTTATCGCCAAAAAAGAAATTCTAGTGAAAGAAATTAATGAAAAGGAAAATGGGTTGCGATAAAAAAGAAGAATAAACAAAAAGAAATATCATGAAACAAGAAAGATCACTTGTCCAATTAGAGTCTTCACCAAATAAGCTCTTCACTTTGGAGATATTATATTTAATATTTCAATTATTATGAACTAAAAATTCATTTAATATTCAATATTATCTAGTAGTAATTTTCAATTGAGATTGATAGATACTATTTTTTTACTAAAGTTTTTCAACACAAGAAAACATGTATTTAGCATGGACCAAAAACCGATGCATGTGTATGTGACCCTCAAATCATGAATACTAATTTGTTAGTTTTAGCCTTTGAAGATGGATTCTAACTAGTGTTGATTTTGCAATCGCTAACTCACTAAGGCAGTTTAACATTTACTTGTTCATCACTAAGGCATTTTTATTTACATCTTTTGTCGTGCCTCTTGACTGATGTTGAATGACAATAAAACCACAAAACAAATGTACACAATATCCATCATTCTAAAAAAAATTGGGTCCCTTTTATTCGTGTTTTGTAGTTTTGGGTGCAATTCAAGAGTTATTAAAGTGGATATTTGTCTAAAAATTATTTTTTCTTATCTAATCATGTTTTTTCCTTGAGTTCAACTTGTTTTTTTCTCCATCATGATTGCTTGCTATTTTCCTGATTTCATACACTTAAATATTAAAATTAAAACACGCAATATCTAATTTAACAATACAAAAAATTAAAAACCAATAACTTGGGGGCAAAACAGGTAAAAACATAGTAAACTGTCTATTTTTTATATTTTAAGTTATTTTAGACCCGATGTTCGTGTGGTGGAGGGGGTGGGGCCTTCTTTTAGGTTTCCTAGGATGGTTAAACATTTATGTCTATATATAGGAGTACCGAATACATTTGTAGACACCTTAGTTGGTGATGATACGAAATTAGATTTCATTAGAGATGATTCTCTTAGGTTCCTGTCATAGATCTCTGGTTCTTATCAGAAATGAACTTTTTTATGCGAATCTTCATTACTTTATTAATTTGCTAGATACTGACATTCCCATATTCTGATTCTTATCAAAGATGAAAATCTTTGTGGTAAATCTTCCTTGATTTATCAATCTATTATATTGTGACTCATTTCCATCCTATGTTTTATTCCGTGTTTCCTTCTTATATATCTTTTGATAATTCTCTTATTTATTTGATCTATTTTACATAAGAAATCCAAATCTATTTGGACACAAATTTTGGTTTCTCTAGAGTCAAAGAGAACATTCCAACAAAGTTATAACGATCACAAACCTACACAAAGATTCTACGCAAGAAACTTTACAATACATTACAACAAAACATAACGAGCTTACTCTTCAACGAACTCCTAAAGATTCATAACCTAACTTCTTGATAAAAAAAAATGTAGCAATCTAGCAAAAAATGTTATTAAGATACTTAATAAAATTCGTAAATTTCAAAATATTTTATTTCACAACTCTGATACCACCGTTTAAGATTAACGAAAATTAAAATTTTCATTTGTTTGTTCAAACAATTCAAGAGTAAGATTCAAAATTTCATCATTAAACCAAAGTCTACATTAATTCACAAAAACCTTTGGTATCACTGTCTTTAACATGAACAACTCATATTTTAGAGGTGATCAATATTATTGTATCATAATTTTTTTCCAGAAGTATAGATCAATGGATGAGACAAATAAGACTTATTGTAGTAGAAGAAATCCATAGTAAAATACAACTCACAGCTGAGATGAACCACTTAGAAATCAAAATATAAATTGAAAATATCAGATAAAAAATAAGAAAGTCGAGTCAGAAAAATTTCCTACGAACATATACTTAAGATTGTATAGAGGGTGATGTTGGATCTCTTGTATAAGCAATACAAACCGAGAGATTTAGATTGTATATAATGTTGATGCTTGATCTCTTGTATAATCAAGGCATACCAGTTGGATGATAAATACTGTCCAAAAAAAAAAAAAAAAAAAAAAAAAAAAAAAAAATAGAAAATCCATCATTGTCAAATTGGTTTTCGTGGAAGCACGTAAATTTTATATTTCCACATATAGCACATCCGATCACAGTACACATACCTGAAAAAAGGCACTTGAAGGAAATGTGGCCTGTGATTCTTCTGGTCAGTACTGTGAGCAAGTTTGAGGGGGGGGTCTGGCCAACACAGTAATGCTTCATACTATGCAGAAAATGATTATGTCCAGCTTTACCAGATCTTTTTTATATGTTGGGGGGCGGGGTGGGGGGTTAGTTGTTGTTATTGCAGTTGTTTTAACTGCAGTAAGCTCTGTTTTTCTTCCGTCAGATATAGTCTCTCAATTCAGTAATATGAGAATTTCTTCAACCAATGAAAATCCAACCCTGCTTCTTGTTTCTCCTCTGTTAAATGGGAAGAATTGCCTTTCTTCTGGGCTCAGGCTATGAAACTTGCCCTTAAGTCCAAGAACAAGATGAAATTCACCAATCGACACCTATTATGAAAATTGTACTGAATTAAAAAGTTCATCAAGTTTTTGAACAAGTCTCCCTAAACTCTTCAAGCATATTGAAGTTATACCAAGAAGAGTTGACTTCAGGGTATAATCTATGGAGTTTCTTGTAAAGTTAATCAATGACCAACAGTTTCTAACGGTTCACTTTTGAAACTTCACATCAAAACATCCCTTATTATATAAATAATAGAGACAGCAAAGCCAAAAAATAAGCAAGAGTTGACTTTGAGGCATGAATCAGCGCTATAAGGGTCAATCATTGATTTACTGTCATCTCCATCAATTATATGACCTTTGGATAGAGAAAAGGAAGAAGGTGATAGTGTTTTTCTCATATACGTCCTACCGCATGGGGGGGGGGGGGGGGGGGGGGGGGGGTTCATCGAATTCAACAATTGTATCTAGATATCAAAGTTGTGTTTTTCCTGTAAATTATCATAACTCAAATTTTGCCACTATTTCTGTGATTTTTTTTCCTTTTGGGCAAGAAAGATCTTACATATTCCTGTTTATATTCAAAGAAGGATCCCTGTGTGCACTTTCCAATCCAACACCATATATACTTTGTCTCTGAGTTATATTCAAAATTAACATGTACTTGTTTCTCTCTTCCATATTGTTTTCTGTGTTGTTTTCGCTTATCCCTTGGTTATTTCGAAAACTGAAGAGTATGAAGGATAAAGCTGTGTCAGACAACAGTGTTCCTCGAATAAAGCATGATGTTTTTGTTAGCTTCAGGAGTGAGGACATCCGTCGTGGGTTTCTTACTAATTTGACAAAAACTTTTCAGGAAAAGAAAATAAAAGCCTTTGTAGATGGTCAAACTCTTAAAGGAGAAGCCATTTGGCCTTCAATTGTTGGTGCAATTGAAGGATCATCCATTTCAGTTATCATATTCTCACCAGGCTATGTTTCTTCTGAGTGGTGTCTAGAAGAACTTGCAAAAATATTTGAATGCAGAGTGAAATACGGACATACCATTATCCCTGTTTTCTACCATGTAGAGCAGGCAGATGTACTATATCGATCTGGCAGATACAGAAGTCCATTTGGTAAAGATGAAAGTAAGCATAAGTCCAAATTGCAAAGTTGGAGATCTGCTTTGGAAAAATCTGCACAATTATCAGGAATTGAGTCATCAAAGATTCGGTAAGTTGTTTCCCCTCAACGTTCAGTATGCCCAATTATCACATGTGATTGGTTTAAATTGAAAAAGATGCAACCTTTTATCACAAGAGGGGCTTTTTTTTGACCCCCTCTTGGAGGGAAGCTTTTTCAAGGGTGGACTAGGACTGATTCATCAACTATGGGTGAAGTTGAAAACTCTAGTTGATCCAATGAATTTAGTGGTTAAAATAAAACCAGTCAACACATTTACGTATATTGAACACCTTCATCATGTATTAAAATTAATGATATTGAATTTAACTAACACTTTCCCTCTCTTTGTGTGTCATCTAGAGACGATGATAAGTTGGTTAAGGAAATTGTCAATCATGTGCTGACGAGGTTGAGAATGGTTAACTCAAAAGGGCAAGTAGGAATTGACAAGAAGATTGAAGAAGTAGTATCATGGATAAAAGAAAACCCAAAACAGACTCGTCTTATAGGAATATGGGGGAAGGGAGGTGTTGGCAAGACAACTCGTGTAGAAGAAGTGTATAACAAACTACAATCTCAATATGAAGGTTGTTATTTCTTAGCCCACGTAACAGAAGAATTAAGCAGACATGGAATACTTTCATTGAAGGACAATTGTTTTTCTAAACTCTTGGGATATGATGTGAAAATTGTCTCGCCAAATTCGTTGCCCAAAGATATTGTTAGGAGAATTGAAAGTATGAAGGTTCTAATTGTTCTTGATGATGTTAATGATTCTTCAAAACACCTTGAAAAAATGGTTGAGACAATTCTAGGTAATTTTTGGATCATGCAGGCAGAATAATTTTAACTACTAGACATTTGGAAGTGCTTGAGACAACAAAGCTTACAAGAAATACCATCTTGGAGATTAATTTCTGATGAAGCACTACACTTTTCAATTTGAATGCCTATAACCAGAGTGATTATAGAAGGGAGTACAATAGGCTATCAGAACGTGTGATCCTTTATGCTAAAGGTATTCCATTGGTGATTAAAGTTTTGGCTGGTCATCTGCGTGGAAAGAAAAAGGAAGAATGGAAACGTGAGTTAGATAAGCTTGAAAAAATGCCTCAGAGGAAAGTTTATGAGGTAATGAAACTAAGTTATGATGGTCTAGAGCACAAACAGCAACAAATGTTTCTAGACCTTGCATGTTTCTTTCTGAGAACACATGAACGAGTAAATGTTGGCTATCTAAAATCTTTATTGAAAGATAATGAAAGTGATAACTCAATTGATTTTGAGTTTGTAAGGCTGAAGGACAAAGCTCTTATAACTTTCTCAGAGGATAATAACTTTGTATCCATGCATGATAATTTACAACAAATGGCTTGGGAAATTGTTCGACAAGAGTCTATTGAAGACCCTGGAAAACGCATTCGGTTGTGGAATCCCAGTGAAACATATGAAGCATTGAAATATGTCAAGGTTGAAGCCTAACTACATGTAAATTATTTTGGATAACATTTAAATATATCTTTTGTTACAAAATGGCTTGTGGTGATCTTTATAACTTATCTTCTGGTTTAATGACAGGGTATTGATTCCATTAGAAGCATAGTACTTCACTGGCCAGCAATTAAGAAGGAAAGGTTAAGGCCTCATATATTTGCAAAGATGAGCAGACTGCAATTTCTGGAAATTGACGACTTATATCATCATAATTCTGTCGAACCATTTGATATTCTTGGTGATAACACCTGCTGGCCCAAATGGCAAAAGGCTCGGATTGCTGATATTCTTGTTGAAGGACTTCATTTTTTGGCTACTGAGCTGAGATTTCTTTGTTGGTATCACTATCCTCTAGAATCCCTGCCAGAGAATTTTTCTGCAGAAAAACTTGTAATCTTGAGATTGCCACACAGCAGAATGGAAAAACTCTGGCTAGGAGTTAAGGTAAAATGAGTCTCACTAGTATAGTTTGTTTTTTGTTAATTTGAGGAATAAGAAATTAATTAATTAATTAAGCTAGTGTAATATCTTCATTGTTTTTCAAATTCTACTGCAGAATCTGGTGAATTTAAAAGAACTTGACCTTTCTAAATCCAAGAAGTTAAAGGGGTTGCCAGATTTATCAAAAGCCATAAATCTTGAATTGCTGATTCTCAGGAGTTGTTCCATGTTGACTAGCGTTCACCCATCTATTTTCTCTCTGCCTAAACTTGAGAAGTTAGACCTTTAGAGATGCGAGTCCCTTACAATACTTGCAAGCTGTTCCAATTTACATGGCCTCAGTTATCTCAACCTTGATTTTTGTGAGAATCTAATGAAATTCTCACTGATTTCAGACAATATGAAAGAACTCAGATTGAGATGTTCAAAGATCAAAGTACTTCCTCTTTCATTTGGACACCAAAGGAAGCTCGAATTTCTTCATCTGGAAGAAAGTGGCATCGAGAGATTACCTTCTCTGAAAAATCTCACTCAACTTCTACATCTAGATGTAAGCTTTTGTGATAAGCTTCAAACAATAGCTGAGCTTCCACCGTTCCTTGAGAATCTGAATCTCCAATATTGCACTTTACTTCAAACTATACCAAAGCTTCCATCATCACTCAAAACGCTAAATACTGAAGCATGCACTTCACTTGAGACTCTACCAGAGCTTCCCCCATCCATTGAAATCCTTAATGTTGAATCATGCTCTTCACTTGGGACAATACCAGAGCTTCCTCAATGTCTTCAAACTTTAAACGTCCAATGTTGCCATTTACTTCGAACTATACCAAAGCTTCCCACATGCCTTAAAACTCTACACACCAAAAACTGCACTTCACTTCAGAATCTACCACAACTTTCCCCATTCCTTGAAACTCTAAATGCTACATACTGCAAATCATTGAAACGTGTTTTGTTTCCTACAGTAAAAGATGAAAAACTAAAGGAAAACATGAAAAAGCTGCTTTTCTGGAATTGCTCAAACTTGGATAAACATTCTCTGGTAGCTATACGGTCGAATATGAAAATCAACATGATGAAATTTGTTGCAAACCATATATTTGCACCGGATCACAGTCATGTTGAAGATTACAGTGATTATGAATATAATTATCATTCTTATCAGGCTGTGTACGCGTATCCAGGAAGCATTTTTCCAGAGTGGTTGGAGTATAAGACAACAGAAGATTATATAATAATTGATGTCCCTTCTAGTATGAGTTCCTCCCTGGTTGGCTTCATTTTCTGCTTTGTCCTTGGTGAGTTTCAACACACAGACATAATCAGAAGAGTTGAATTCAAGATCACTGTAAGTGACGGTGGTGGTAAGGATGAAGGTGAAAGGGAGAGTGTAAGAATGTACATGGATTATTGGGATGACACGATTGAATCGGATAACATATGTGTGATGTACGACCAAAGATGTTCCCACTTCCTACTTAGCAGACCCAGAAGACTAACAAGCTTTAGAATCCAGGTTACAATGGAAGCAAGAATCTCCTTTGATGAAACTTTTAATGTACTGTTGCAGAAGGTTTTAAAAGGATTTGGAGTCAGTCCAATTTCGTTTGACAAATTGCGAAGCTCAAATTATACGTTTCGTTAAGCAAATGGAATTGGGTTGTGCTTCGTATTATCCCAGGTAATTTCTTCTTGTGGTTTATGATTAAATCATGTCTGTACAACAACGTAATTGGTTACTACATTGAAGTTATCATAATGATTATTTGAAAACTTATTAGAATGTAAGCATACTCAAACTAAGGAAGGTGCTGGGAATTCAGGAACAGTCCAAGTCATAAATAGTGTTAATTTCAAGAAATGTAACGCACATATTAGCAGTCTGAATGGTTCTAGATTTACACAACATAGAAACATGGTATACATTTTGAAACTGTGTGAGTCTGGTTATTTGAGAATAATTTAAGTGGCCCAAAATGTTAAATTGGTACAAAAAAAAAGTTAAAAATTGTATAAAATGAAAAACTCATGAATTCATATTCTTAAGGTTTTAAGTTAACCGTAGTATCAAATATCTAAAGTGTATTAGACCAAATATATACAGACCATAACTTGATTTGATTTTTAAATTTTATTTTATTGAATTGACTTTAACACTATTTGAAAGTATTAAATGTTAAAATTTAAGTTTTTCATGAATTTTTTGGTACATTATGTGTTGGGATTTTGTTCCTATAAGGGTGAAATGAATAGATGTATTTTCTCATTTTAAATATATATATATATATATATATATATATATATATATATACACTTTTTTCTTCTTTTATGGTGGTTTTTATTTATTTACCAAAAATAACTGTGGTTGAAAAAACACATAACAAATATCTATCTTGACTTAATTTTCTTAATTAATTTCACTTGTACTTTATTGTGTCAAATTATATTTAAATCAAAATAATATTTAAACTTAGTTAATAAAAAAACTTTTGTCATCATATCTCCTATATTATCAGAAGTAGAAATCTTTCGTTATATAGAATAAGGGTGAAGTTAAAGAAAAGAGAGAAAAAAATTGATGAGACCCATTATAAAATAATCTCTCATAAAATTGACTAAATTTACTGGAGAGAAATAGATAAAAATTGTGGAACCATTAAAAAAATGTTGAAATGATATATACGCAGCCGTTTGATATATTAGGTTGAGGACAAACATATATTTTCTTTCAAAAACAAAATGGAAAAAAAACATCTTTGGAATAATACACATATATACACTTAATTGTTTGGTCTCTTTTACTTCTTTCGCATCTCCGGCAATTCAAACATCTGAAAAAATAATTTCTTCCGATGTTTTTTCCAAACCAACTATTTCTTTCTACTTCATTCCCAAAATATCTTATCAAATGATGAAAAGAATTGATAAATTGTGATCTTAGGGATTAGATTGTGATTTTTATATTCTTAAATATTAATAATATACACGTGTTGTGAAATTTCTTATAAATTATTTATTTCATCCAACATCTAGGGTAGATGACGCCGGTCATGGTCTTCCTTCTCTTTCTGGGATTTGCTGCAATTCTTGTTCTGCTCCCTTTTTTCTTGGCATTCTCATCCCTTCAAAATTTTCTATCAACTTCACTTTCTCTGTTGCTTTCATCAAAAGCTTCAAAAATGTTAATTTCTAAACCAATGTAAACATACCAAATAATTTTATATTAGTCTAACGTTTACTTTGAGACAAAATTAAGTACCAAGTTAATGACTCATTTCATAACTTGTAGTTCTAAATTTGAATGGTTGATAATCAAACTAGAACTTCGTGTACATTATAAAAAAGAATCAGCAATCGTGGATGGTCTGAAAGCCACACAAGTGGCTCTCTCCTTATGTGGCTACTAAGAGTCACAGTAAAGAGTGAGATGGAAAGAGTGCAACTTGCAAGAGAAAATATTCTAATTTCTCTGTGTCTCTATCTTCCATGGCTATATAATAACGGATGAAGTTGAAGGGTTTGCACTTGCAAATGGGTTCGCCATTGAATGCTGTGCCTTGGCACACTAAAGAACATGCAATGGTTTCTTTGTGTTCATCTTCTTAAGCTCACAGCAAGAAGCAAAAAGTGGAGTGCAGCCAAGGGTGATTTGCCGGCACTGACTACTTCAGTGTTAAAGTGAATAGTTAGTTCTGTTTGATTCATATATTTTCAAATTCCGGCAAGTTTCTCTTGGCTACATTCCGGTTTCTTCTTCTCCTGTGATGCTGTCTGAAGATTCTCTCTGTATATAAATCACTTCCATTAATTGTTGCAGCAGCAGCAGCATTCGTCTAAAACATATATACTTCGTTATGTTCATATATGCATCTAAGCATCAGCTATCATTATCCTGAAAGAGAAACTCATATGCATTGTTTCTTAATTAATATATACGGTTATTGATCTTGGCGGAAGTCCCCAATGTTAATGTTACATTAGTGAAGGTAAATTTTAGTTTATAAATTGATTTTGTAGAAATAAATTTAAAGTTTATTTGTTAATATCATGTCTGAATTATGAATTAGAGTATCTTTTAGTAAAATTGGTGTTTATGAAAAATATCATTTCCATCCGTTATTAGAAACTATTTATTAATATTTAGTTTCATGTTTGAAATTATTTATTAATATTTAATTTTACATATAAAATATATATACTTTAACTTGAAAAATGAAAAAGAAAGAATTCAGAATTAGAATACCAATTATTTTTTTATTTTTTTTATTAAGTAAATTTTAAATTTAATCTTATTTTATAAAATTTGTGTTTATTTATATATTTATTATAAATTTAATTTATCATCAGTGATATAAGATTTTCCATTTACTCAGACATAGCTTCTGCTTACTTAGCCAGACATATACATTTTGAACNATTATTTATTAATATTTAATTTTACATATAAAATATATATACTTTAACTTGAAAAATGAAAAAGAAAGAATTCAGAATTAGAATACCAATTATTTTTTTATTTTTTTTATTAAGTAAATTTTAAATTTAATCTTATTTTATAAAATTTGTGTTTATTTATATATTTATTATAAATTTAATTTATCATCAGTGATATAAGATTTTCCATTTACTCAGACATAGCTTCTGCTTACTTAGCCAGACATATACATTTTGAACTAAGAGAAGAGCATTGGGTTGGTATTGTATCTCTTACGTTAAAATAATCTGCAGGATCTATGTTTTTCTATCAGCAAATAAAAAAACATTCCATTAGAAGGTACAAGTGGTACCATTGAACAGAAAGAAGAGTTGAAAAAACATCATCTACCCTTTATACCTAAGGACTATGATCATACAGAGGCTATACGGGAACAACAGGACATGAACTGCTAGCAATTACCTGCGAAATATATTCTCTGTATATTCATGATGTATGGCTTGAAACATGTCCAGTGTTTTATTTTATATGATTTTTCTTTATTTAATAAAAAAAATATTATTTTAAATATGTTGATTAAGTCATCTTAAAATAATTTATTTTAAATTAGTGTGAGTTAACTACACTATTTTATTTTATTGTATTTAATGTTCAGTTGAATTATAATTAATTCAGCTTAAATTGATTTATTTATTTGATTTTTTGTTGATTAAATAGATGTTAATTTAATTTAATTATCATAAATTTACATATTCCTTCCATCTTCCCCTGCTACATCTGAATTCTCAGCTAAATCATGAGATACATGAGTACCATATGTGTAGCTTCAATAATAGTTTATATTGTACCTACTTGACTTCTTTATTTTATTCAAGTCTCACCCTGAATCCCCCAATCACTTCCTCTCTCTTATATTTCTCTCATCCTTCATGTCTACTCTGCATAACTACATCTCTTTATACCCTGTTAACATTTATACAATCCAAGGTAGAAATCTAAGTGTAAGTTAAAAATTCTTCATTAAAAACATAGATGAGATAAACCATATATAAAAAAATGTCAATGCTTTTTACAACATGATGATTCAGTTAATTTTATATTAATGAGAGCATATCGGTAATTGTTTACATTTTACAATGATTTGGTAATTTTGAATATGGGTAGTGATAACGAGTCTTAAGTGATTGGTGTTGATGTGTGATCATGGATTAACATGAAAATGAAAACATGCTTTGTATGTTCATTTTAATTTGATTTTTGTTTAGGTGTTTCATGATCATAATATTACAAGTGTTGATTTAGCTGGGTTGGCGAAGAGAAGAAGAACATGGAATGATGATGGATTCTAAATTTGTAAATTTTTTATATTGAAAATCTTCTTAATAAAAGTTTCATGCTAGTGTGTCTTGTTATAGTAAAATAAATAAGGATTATTTTTAAAGTATTCAAGAACAAAATGACATTACACAAAAAGAAAGATCCACAAATTTGTTTTTTTTTTTTAAGTTTTTGTGTAGTTTTTAAAAAGAGACACTCACATATTCAATAACAATAAATCGTGAATAAATTTATATAAGATATTAAAACATTATTTTCAACAAAACTTTAAAACAATAGATTTATCAACTATTCTAATGATATACTATTCTAATGATATACTATTCATCTTATTATTTTTTTATATCAAAAATAACTTTTAGCTTATTTTCCTAATAATCTTTAAGTCTTTACGTTAAAACATATTTCTCTTAAACATGAATATTGTGAGGTTTTTTTGAGTGGAAATATAAGGAGATTTGATATGTTAATCATCTTATTTATTTTTATATGCAATATAAAACTTCTAACTCACTTTAAATTTGCAATTGTTTGAAGTTGAAAATAGTATTTCATTTCTTTATTTATTTTTCTTTCAAATAAATCTACATACATCTTCCATCGATCGTCCTCTCGAGGACAAAACTAAATAATTTGAGGTAGGTTTGCCATCGGTGGACATTAGATGTTCAAAGGACCATGTATAAAAGGAGCTAACTATCCTCTATGTAGAAAACAAATTTTTTGGTCGAATTTTATTTTGTATGTTTTTTTTTTTAAATGTTGGAACACTCTAAATATTTTTTATTAATATATTATTTATTAGTGATGAAAAAAATATATTTTGTAACGTTTTCAAAATTCCTATTATCAAAAGGAATGCCTTCAAATAA